GAATCCAAATCAAATCACATCAAATGTGAATGGGGATAGATGGATACCTGTTTGCAAGAATCGTCGCCAGAGGGAAACACAGCTTTCACTGCTCCGGTTTCCGTGGATCCTGATTGAATTAGGTGAATATATGTTTTTAATATCTCATATTTACTTCTCCTGTCTAAACAGGACCATGCAGGAAGATGTGTTAAAATGATCGACTACAAGTGTTCCCGTGTTCTGCAAAGCTGACATAGAAAACCCAACAGCACAATATCTAATCATTCAAAGATCTCGACATTCCGCATGTTCCTACTTTTACAAACCAGAAAGAAGGGAGGCGATCTAATTATATGTGGACAGAAGAGACAACAACTTACAGATAATACCTTAGATATCAACCCAGAAAAATTTTAAGAACTGTAGCATTTATCTCTGTGGGGGAATTGAACGATTCTCCTTCCCTGATTGAGAAAAATGCTTGTAAAATAATACCTTACTGATCTCTCAGGGTTGAAATTTCCCTAGTCAGGCATATGATTTAGGTGCTCAATAGACATCAGATATGATTCAGACTTACTAGGATGTTTTGGGACACCGGCACCCTAAATACATATGTAAAATTCTGTCATATCAGATTGTCGCTGGCTTAAGATACATGAGCTTAATCTAGAAATTCAATCCAAAATAGAAACCTGCTATTGCAAAAAAAACCCACCTCAGAGCAATTACACACCTTTGCAGAGTGTAATACAAGAGTTTCTCAGGGTAATGAAGGTTAGGGGTACTGAAGAGCCTTATTACAGAAACACATCCTTGGATCAACCCAGCTCAGTCCTTCCAGAAAAGCAACACTCTCGACAAAAGCGTGCCAGACTTTTTACGCTCTAAATCGCCAAGGAAATTTGCCTGAGTGATTGTCGGCAGAGTGGATCTTTATCTTTTTCAGACAAAATGAGAGACAGACTCGACGTGCTGAGGTATGAGAAACAGCCAACAAGATGGCTGGCGGACCATCTGCAAGACACGCTTATACAGTATGTAATGAACACGGTAAATCAGGGTTAATATAAAATAATATTTTAATATAAAATTCCATTTTAAGGTCGGCTTGGTCCAGCGATTTGGTCCACTATTTTATGTGGTCGTAACAGTCTACAATTTATCTTGGGGGAAGGATCACATTTGTAGGAATTCTTACTATATTACTAATGTATATCAACTGAAATTAATATGCTACGAATCATTTTGGTGCTTAGCTGATACCTTTTTCCAAGAGCGATAGCACTCATTTAAACATCTTAATACCTCTGGAACTATGTGGATTAATTACTTGCCTCAGTGGTACAAGAGCAGAACATTTCCTGGAAATGAAATAATGTGCATCAGTCTGAGAGTTGTTTGATTACCAGTCGTCGCCGTTTAAGGCTCTTATTGTTATGGTCATTCAGTTGTTTCTTTTATTGTCATTTAAATTCCTATTGTTACTTTTTTGTCATATGTGTTGTTTTTATTGGTATATTATCAGTACAGCACTTTGGGTTCAACTATTGTAGTTCAAAAGTGCTCTATAAAAAACATGACTTGACTTGACATATCAGAACTTAGCTAAGCTTTGTTTTGTTATCGATGAGGGATGGCCCGATCCCAGATAATCTGCGAAAAACAAGAGGTAATCAGCTAATCGAAAGCCCTTTTGTTACCGATGTGCTACCGTTATTTAATTTTGCACAAAGTGTATAAAAATTTTACCCATGTACACAACTGAATATCTCACTGGAGCCACTCAAGGGTACAACAGTGAGTTCTCCTGGAGTGCAGGGCACTGACCTTCAGGCTGCTACCACACTGAATAACAATTTCTTCTTGCTGCCCTAAATTTACAATCGTTATTAAATTATAGCCTGTATAATTTTGTCTTACAAATGATTCTTTCTTTCGCATGGTACCATATAAGCTGTTTTTATTTTTAAATAACTAAAGGTTACAGCAAAAAAAAGAATCACAATTTATTAACATCCTCCACAACAATCCATCTGCTATGTTATATGGTATGTATTTTACATTTGTTACTGTTCAGGATTTTCAATTCTAGAAAACGGTTAAAATCCATTTTGGCTCACAAACGGCTTAGTTGGATCAAAGTTTGGCTTCACCCACAGTAGTGGTAGCCAGGACCAGTCCTGGGTTATGACAGTGGATGTATACATTGCTTCTCAGTGTTGTTGGTCCACTGGTGTCTCTCTCGCCCACGATAACTCTGCTCTCTGGCTCCCGGCAGGATGACTGGCTGTGCAAGCATAACAAACGACGAGAAACAAACAAAAGTTATCTGTATAGATTTTAAATGCAATTTTATGAATTATGCAAGCAATACAAAATAAGTAGAATACCAAGGGCTGCATAGGCATTCGTTTTGAAGACAAACATTTTTTATGCACTGTATATGCAACGGAAATTTCTCACTTTCCACCATAAATGTCCAAACACCATTTGATGTTTTCTGGTTTTGAGGCTGTATTCTGTCCCTTCTGCCTCATAGATGCTGCCCACGTATTGCATAGCTGAAGGGGTCGAGTAGAACCTTGAGCAGTTTGGTCAGAGCAGGACAACGCCCCCCCGAGCAAAGGGACACCGAATAATGGATTAATTCCTTATTTTCACTTGACTTAATTGAAGTTGATTACCCGCCAGGTCCTGAGCCCATCATTGCGTTTCCAGAGTCGAAATTCTAACAGAACTGTTATTTTCCTAAGAAATTACTTTCAGTCTCAGTCAAATGGATGACTGACAGGTGTATGCATGCACCACGGAACGCTTCTGAACAAGGGGGCGTATGAAATCATGATCACTTGTCTGTTTGCTTTTGAAAAATTCAGATATAACCTTTATGCCTTTTTTCTTAAATGGTCTAAGCCTGCTCACCTTACCATTAGGGATGGGCAGTACCACAGTTGGTATTGCTCACATCAGTCCATACCCCAGTGCCACTGGGGGTGTCGGTCTGACCCCTGAAAGTCTCTTCTTCTTATGGCTGGACCTGCCTGTTTGTCTCCTGTACAGTTGATTGGTATCACATCACAATATTAAGTGAGTAACCAATATCATTGCCTTGTTTTTTTTAAAAATGTGGATATAATTAAGGCCTTTTAAACCAGTTTGCATTAAATTATATGTTGGTGATTGTTTCTGCATTATCAATGATGCCCCACATTATACCCATGGACAGACCCCCCCCCCCCCCCCCCCCCCCCCCCCCCCCCACCCCCCCCCCCCCCCCCCCCCACACACACACACACACACACACACACACACACACACACACACACACACAACCGATGGCTGCATGTGAATAATCAAATAGTCATGTCTACTTATCTACTTGGATACATATAAATCTTTAATATTTGTCATGTGAAAACAAATTGAGTCAGTAAAACAGGAAGAGCATTTTGCTGGCTCATGAACAAATTCATTAAAGTAACCTAATTATGGTATCTAATTTTACCTCTTTTGGTTGTGTATGTGTGTAAAACGGCGATATACATATATGTCTGTCTTATAATTTAATGTGCCCCGCAACTCATCGTTTCCAGAAATTCCCAATGAAATTCTCTTTTTTTTTAACTGGATGGGAACATTCACTGTCAGGATGTCCATCCTTTTTCTCCTTTTCCCAGTCCCGCTTTCATTCTCGTTTACTCATGTGGAAAAGCCTCATCGCTCAATTCCCAATGGGCCACAATGCATCAGCGGCCCTCGGAAAACAAGATCACTTTCCGTTTTAGTTTTTAATTTGCTATTAATGTGGGACTGGGGATGTCCTGTCTGTCTGTCAAGCTATCTGTGTTTGCTTTATTCATTTGATATGCGTCTATATTAACTTTTACACATCTGTATCTTCATTTGCATTAGTAAAAGCCATAGAAATATATCACGTCCCCTGGATTAGAAATGGCTGTGTCTCCGGAGAGCGCTCCTGAGAATTCACTAGGAATTAAAAGGCTGGACCTGAGAAGGATCACTTCTTATTTGACGGCGTTGTCCGCGATTCCTCCGTCTGTAAATACTGAAACAGAGATGCCGTGACAGTGACAGTGTTTCTGTTGAACTCTTCTTTATAGGGTCATCTGCTTCCGGATGTTTTTCTTTTCTCAACCTACTTTAAAATTAATTGTCAGTCTTGTTATTGCAGATATAGCGTTTGCACATCCCGTCCCAATACTGCTGCCAAACCAGTCACAGAACTCTGGTGATTAGGCAGAGCCAATCAGCTTAGTGTTACATGCTACCAATATGTTTGACATGTCTTCCATTGAAATAAAGTGTCAAAATGATCGGTCCTCAAACTTTATTTTGTTTTGCAAAACGAATACAATGCCAATCCACAAAGAGAATGAGTGACATTGGGTAACTTTATGCATTGACCTGGCTAAATTAGTTTCCCTTCTGCAGTAGCCAAAAATATAATGAAATTCACTCAAACTTCATGAACAATAAACCCAAGAAATCCATCTCTCTAAATAAGAAACACTAGTCTTCCAATTCCTGATGAACACTGACATAATTCTAGGTGTTCAAATACCATGTGACCTGTGCATGTTGTATGCAGGACATTTGTTTTACTGTATAAATAATAAATTTATCAGTGAAAAGCATATGTTGCAAAGAATAACAAGAATGCTAAATTTCTCTGCTTTTTTAAGCCATTCATAAAAACTGTTGCATATCTAATCAAGATGCAGGGAAAGAACCCGAAATGTCATGCTGATGTGCATAATCCCAAACTTTGACACGTGTCATCTTGTGTAAGGGGCACCCTCTTGTATTCTTAGTCGGATCAGAACCGGAAGTCCAGTCTGCCTGGTGTCACCATGGCCCACAGCTGGGTCTGCAGAATCCACACCCCCTACTGTATTCTAACGGCAGCCTGTTGTCCCGCCCTGTGTTGCACTTTCATGTCATGCTCAGACTGCCCACCAGGGGGCCCCCAAGACACAATTCGAACACCGGCCAGGACTGTCGGGAAAGAGGGGCAACTTTTGGCCCGGAAATGGATGGATCCAGTGATAATGCTTGCAGGCACGTAAGCATTGGGAGGAAAGAAAAAAGCAGCGCATGTCAGTTCAGGAACAGCTATTCCCTTTTGAGATCTTAGCCATGCAGCTCTGTCCCTGGTGCTAACGACCCCGGCCGCCGAGTTCCCACTCGGAGCCGTCTCATATCGCAAATGAGAGCAAAATTTTAAGTTGCGTTTCTTTAATTGTCTTTATTCGTGCGCAGTGGAATATAAATCACCAACAGTACAATCTGAAAGAGCCGGCAGTATTGCACAATGTTTAAAAAAACAACAAAAAAAAAAACGAAACAGCAGTAACACAATTTCCCCAGCGCTGACTGCACCGGCCACACCTCCCATACACAATTTAAGGTATTTTATATATTTTTTTCCATATAAACAAAATACTGTTTTCCAGCTTAATTACCATCAATTCATTAGCCAGAGAATAACGGTGATCACAAGCAAACAAGCTGATGAAAATAACAAAATAAGGAGGTGAAGAGAGGAAATGTAATAAGACGTATGCTCATTATAAACATTTTCCGGAGTGGGGGGGGTATTCTTGGACACGCTGAGTATCCCACCAGCATTAATGACTGCATGTTATGTAATTCCCCCGCAAGACGTCCACGCTGCGCTGCAGATGAGTGTAACCATCACGGGTCACCGGAACCCTCACTGCCAACCAAAGACTGACACAGGGACTGAGTTTTGGTCAGGAGTCACGCCTGTGTCCCCATCGCTGCTCAAATGGACACACGCAAACAGGCCTTTTTTTAATTCCAAATCCGGGCTGGGCTGCTGCGTGCGAGAAGCATAACAATTATACACGGGCGGTCGCAATGCCAAAAAGCTTTTCCGCACACAGACAATTCCACACAGAATCCAGCTTCTGATTTTTGTTTAGATGATATTTTAGCGAATCCGTACTTGTTTGCTCGTAGCGGGGAGAGAATGGTTAGGTCCACAATTACTGTATGACTTTCTTCAGCTACAATGGAACGAGCAGCCCTTGGTTTAATGCCTTATAGAGTCAAAGTAAAAGACAGCGGCAAATGTATTGGCCAGCTTGTGATATTAATAATACAACATTCAGTTATTTAAAAGCAATGTTGGGGAAGGGGGGGGGGGAGGTGAGGGGAATACAAGGGCAAAAAATACATACATTAAAAAACCTTTAAAAACACATTCCCCCCCAAAAGTGCATCATTCAGTTCCTGCTTTACCACACTCATGTCTGAACTACATTTTCATCTTTCTAAACTTTCTTGTGCCGGGGTTTAGATGCGATGGCAATTTGAATCTGTCAAAATTATTATTTTTTAGTTAGAGGCCCCTTTTAAAATGTTGTGCATTTTTAACTGAATACCTTAAAAACCTGTTTTAAAACCATAACTTTGATATGGTTAATCTTTCTTCAAATTTACAATAGTCCTGTGAATTCTTTATGTTCAGCTAAATATATAATAGAAAGATATTTACAGATACACAAATGTTTGTTTAGGTTCCACAACAAAATACATAAATTCTGTCAAGCAATTTTCAAAAATGTTTTTTTTTCCTTCTTCTCTCAAATCAGCTTATTTAGAAGGTCATCAAGTCTTTTTTACAGGAGACTAATGTCCGACAAACATCCCCACGCATTCAAGAAATCACACACCACCTCAGCACTCCAGACACCCCCGAAGCAGCTCAGCCTCCTCTCAAAGGCAGAGCGACCTTCTAGAAGAGCGTGTCCTTTCTTCTTCGGTAGAGAATCTTCTTGAAGGCCTTGCGGAAGTCCTTGTTGAAGATGGTGTAGATCAGGGGGTTGAGGGAGCTGTTGCAGTAGCCGATCCAGAAGAAGAACTTAAAGAGCGGCTGCGGGAGGCTACAGGACTCTGGGCAGATGGCCTGCAGGCTGTAGGAGAAGAAGAAGGGGAACCAGCAGACCACAAAGACCCCGATGACCACGGCCAGCACGAAGGTGAGCCGCTTCTCGCGGTTGACGAGGGCTTTTCGCCGGGCAGCGTTGGGCGTGCTCTCCAGCCTGGCCTTTCTCTCAGCCAACACCGTTCCCTCCGATGTGGCCACAGTGTCTCTACAGCGCCGTGCTGAGCTTGGGGTGAGAAGCCCGCCACCTGGAGACCCTGCCAAGCTGGAGGACCCGTCACCTCGGGGCCCGATAGTCCCCCTCTCCACGTCGGAGCCCGAGCTGGAGCTGTCACGGTTGCTGTTGTCAGCACTTCGCCTCATAGTGCCCTTCCTCTCCTGACGTCTAAAGATGTCCTCTGGCAGCCTGACCGGGGTGGCGGCGATGGATGGAGAGGGTTTGGGGCCGACGATCGGAGAGGGCGTCACTGGACTGGGAGTTGGTGTTGGCGAGGGGAGCGGGCGTTTGCCGCGGGAGTTGGCAGACTGCTCGGCCTGTGCCGCGTTGGCCAACGCCGGGACGGCAAGGTCAGGGGGCCTCTGCAGGCTCCTTTTTTGAGCGATTTCCAAACCACCGGCATCGCCGCTGCCATTCTGCTGCGCCTCAGGCTTGATCTCCAAGGCATGAGTGACACCCTCCTTCCTGGGCTCCCCCGGCGGACAGCGCGTGTGTTGCTTGGCAATCTGGTAGATGCGCACATAGACCAGGATCATGATGAGGCAGGGTGCGAAGAAGGAGCCGACGGTGGAGTAGAGGATGTACCAACGCTCGTTATTGAGCTGACACTGCGGGCCTTGCTGGCTCTCCTGCCTTTTATTCATGGAGAGTAAGGGGGGGAAGGAGATGACAGCCGAAATGAGCCACACCACCAGGATGGCCGCCTTGATGCGCCCGGGGGTGCGCTGGGCGTTGTACTTGATGGCCCGTGACACCGACAGGTAACGGTCCAGGCTGATGGCGCACAGGTGCACGATGGACGAGGTACAGAAAAACACGTCTAGCGCCAGGTAGATCTCGCACCACGCCGAGTGGAAATACCAGTAGCCCATCAGCTCGTTGGCTAAGGAGAAGGGGATGATCAGGGTGGCCACCAGGATGTCAGCGGCAGCCAGCGACACCAGGAACAGGTTCTGTGGCCCGCGGAGGGAACGGCTGGTCAGCACGGCAATGATGACCAAAATGTTGCCGAAGATAGTGAAGAGCATCATGGTGGTGATAGCGGTAGCGAAGGCTGCAGTGGCCTCCACAGAGTATGGATGCTTCAGGATGCTGTGGTTGCATGCCAGACCAGAGCCGCCCGTCCCTCTGCTGGTACTGAGGTTACTGCCGGCCAGACCGAGCCAAACTGATTTGCATGCACCATCCAGAGACAAATCCATCATGAAGCCGGTCGGTGGAGGTTCTGAGAGGTCACAGCAAAAAGAAAAGTATCTTTCCCGTCTAACAGAAATAATTTTAAACCAAAGGAGCCAGAAACAGCAGCATTAAAAGCGTTTCTTGTTCTGCCTGTTGGAGAAACGCTGTGTCCTCAATCAAGCCCTTTCTCACCAGCAGATGATGGACATATGACTTTCGTCCTCAAGGTTTCTTATTGTTCGTAATTATTAGTGCTTTATTTCATAATCGAATCAAAACGAAGATGCATAACATTTAACGGATCCAAGGCACTTTGTTTACATGTTTTGCCATATTGCACGGCCAAACAATTCAAAAAGGCAATTCGTATTTTAAATTCTATATGAAAAGAACCACGACTTATCGTTGTGCTGTATGATCAATTAAAATACGTACTTAGGGCAGAGAAATACAGTTTTGGGTGTTTTAAAAGTCTAAAATGTCATTTTGACCGGCTGGAGAAGAGAAGCGGATTATTACGTTTTCTTATTTAGCAAAAGCTTATTAATATTTACAGCGATGCATTTGGCTAAAGAACAATTGGAAAGTGTAAAATTAGGGTTTAAAAATTAACCCACCAGTTAATGTTACTAAACGGTTAAGTTAATTGACCATCAATTATGACCATTAAAAGATAAATATTTCTTAGTAGTATTCTGGAAAAAGTTTTTAGTCCTACCTTTAAGGTATGATGTTGTAGACCACATCTAATTAAAATAAAAGATTTCGCGCACAGAAGTTTCCCATCGCGATATTTTAAAAATGTTCTCGGCGTAATAAGATCGCCATAGATAATCAAACTTAGTTCGAGTCAAAAAATAAGACGAAATGTCATTTCATTTATCAGGAACCACTCATATGGTTGGTCTTATTCCCCAGGACAGTCGCCGTTTCGCGGGTATCGGCCGCCGTGCCGTGCAGAGCTGCCCCCCCGCCGCCATGCTCTCTCCTGTCCGCCCGTAGCGCCTGCCCGCCTCGGCTCCCTCCCCGCACTGACAGCGCTGCGCTTCAGCCCCAGCATTAATACCGCCGCCTTTCCCCCTCTTGGCACGGAGATGTCAGACCTGGCGTCACGGGCAGCGGTCCTTAGGTAATGGACTGACGGAAAGACCCCGTTCCGTTCGGCTTGAGCAAAATCTCTCTTTGAGCAAAGCCTCTGTTACGATATTTTCTCAAATCTACTCCATTCCCTTGCAGTTTCTCCACAAACTGACTAATCTTTTGACAAAGTGTGTTATAGTGTGTAATTATATCTGTGTAAATAATTTGAAAGAATTACACGTGGGTAAATATTTTTTGCAGCAAATATATTTATCTATACCCATCATGTAAGTAACTACTACAAGACTGTGAGGAGTAGAGTACTGTAAGAGGGGAGCCCATCCAGGAAGCAGAGAACAGGATATACCCTAAATGGGGTGCCAGTTCATTGCAGGTCCCAAATGGCAGGCTGGATTGCACTTCACACCAGGGTCGTCCTGCCAGACACCAGCCCATATAAGCAGATGCCCCCATTAGGACACTTTGGACATCACAGCCCTCTCCAGCATTTCAGGTTGACCTGGGCTGGGTGTAACATACAGCAAACACCTCGATTACACAAATGTCACTGTCCCGAAGGTCACTCTTCCTAACATCTGTGACCACACACTCAACTGGGCTCATTCAAAGTCTCCAGCAGATTGGCGAATCGCCAAGGTAAGATACCCTGGCGGCCGGCTGCAGCTGCCCCTACCCCGCGTGCCAGCGAGGATTTTGGCCCCGATTAGCCCCCTGCTCAACCTCAGCTCTCACTCACTGCACAGGTTGACCCACAGCCTGTGAAGAAATGAGGAGTTTCAGCAGGGCACCTCTCCCAGTACCCGAATCTCAGCTGGACGTGAAAAGCATGTGACTCAAATTATGGTCAGCTCTATTTACATACTAACCACATTCAGTCAGCTTGTCGACATTGCAACAAACGTTCTTTCTGTCACCACAGCCCGTGATCATACAGGGAGAGTTTTTAATAAAAACTGCAAAGGCTGACGAAAATAAAACATCCATCTACTTAAAATAGTGGAATTATAGATTTGACTCCTACCAAGACCAGAGTTTAATTTATGCTTTTATTAAGTCATGTCGTTCATGCAGATTAAAGCCTAACACACTTAATAGCTCGCTGCTTATCCAGCACAAGGTTACAGTGACGTTGGAGCCTATGCCAGCAGCCACAGGGTATGAGTCAGGGGACATTCTGGACAGGATGCCAGTTCATCACAGGGTACACACAGCAATTTAGGTACCAATTCACCTAACAGCATGTTTTTTTGGACTGGAGGAAGAGGCCCACAATAAAGGAGAGAGAGCATGTAAACTGGAGATGTGAGGTCAAAATGCTGCCCGCTGACCCATGATAAACAAGGCAACATTAAGAGATTACATCTCAGCTAAACTGCGAATGTTGCAAAGGCATAGAAAAATGCAGTTGGCGTATATTTTAATAACTGCAAACACTTTCTGGTCATGAAAGCAACCTGTAGATCATAGCACAAGCAAAGAAACAAAGGAATCAACAAACTAATAAAGTCCATCGTCCAGGAGGCTGTGACTAATGAGGTCATCCCATGTTCCTTCTTGTCAGAATCTGAAGCCAGTACGGGCATACCTTCCTCCACACACACACACAAAAATCACAGCGACGTTTAATGCCATTATAAAAGCCAGTGTTAGTCCATCTCACCCACACATTTGTCTCAAGACTATACAAAACTCTTCTCCAGAGCCTCACGTTAAATTAAAAAAAAAAAAATGTTATACAACTTGTATTCTTTGGACAATACTATGTTAGACATGTTAATAACTGATTATGATCACTGAACTCTGAATGTTATGAGAAATGTGAAAATTGTAGTATTATTTTGATTTGTCACAGTGTTAGTTGCACCATTTGTCCAGAAAAAAAAGCTGAGAATTTATTAATAAACTCCAAATTCTTCTATTGAGGTGGGTATTTTTCAAAGAAGAATTAATTTGAATACCCAGGCAAATCTCAAATGCCAGTTAAATTATACACAACCTCCAAAACCAGCTGTTCTAGAATTTAAGTAGGTAGATTTAGAAATAACTGAAAGCATACTCTGGGTTTGAATGGTAAATGTTACTCTCTGGATCATCTTCCTAAATATAATCCTTCAGAAAATGACCTGTGCAATTAAAACCCCATAAACATTCAAAATGACCCACTAATTCTGGCACAGAATATTTAACAGAAGACTTGGGAGCTCATTTTAATCAATGACTTGAGAAGACATCCGAAATGACTGGAGTGAAAAGGATCAGCATCAGCACTGATGCCCATGGATAATTTTACCAGGTGGCAGATACAGAGGAAGCGCCACATCAGTCTGGAAAGCCGACCATGACCGCTTCCCTCACTTAATTCTTTACCTACTGGAATGGTGGATTGCTGATCTCAGCTTAAACCTGAGTTTTGGAGAGAGAAGCATTACAATGGTTTCACCTCTCACCATGCTGACACTGTCCAACCCCCCATAAATGAGCAATAATATTATCAAAGTATTAGGGCAGATTTCTTTTCTGTGGTGACATTACACGTCATTTACTTGTACGTACGCCTTAAGGCAAGTCGCTTAGTGGTTAAATAGCGCCATCTTGTGGCAATATGAAAACTGAACAGGAACACAAATATTCGCGAAACGGCACAAGTAGGGCAAAACTGCCAACAAGCCCCCACCGTCATCTCCCCAGAAAGCCCAAACCCACATACAACAGGACAACTGATTTTCTTAGAAGCCTTTAATGAATTTGCTGCATGTTATAAGTTTCAAAAAAGTTTTGCAACAGGACAACAGGGTTACTAGAAGTTAATTCGGGGCTGGAGTCGCTTAATACCTTACGTCTCTCCCTATATAGTTTGTTGGTCAGCCAGAAACGGAACAGTTTCAAGGTGACCTCCACCATCATAAACACATGCTAGAAGCACTTCAGCTGGAAAATAATCCTGAGTTTACAAGCACTGAAATTTTGGGCAGTAGTACTGCATTAGCCATAATCCAAGTTGTAGACAATCCCTATTTAACCTTGGAGACTACAGTGATTTTCATACTTGTTTGAAGAACCAGTAACTTGCTTTTACCAACCCCATTTCAAAATGTCCTCTTAGCACAGAACAGATCCAGCATCAATCAAGAACATGCCACTAAGTTGCCCATTACCCCCCACAAAGGCAATTTAATTTTAACAAGTATATATTTTTTTGACAAAGGTATGCAGTATGCTGTTCAGAACTAGCTGAAATGCACTGCAATTTCCAAGACCAAGCCAAATTTCAGCACCAACAAAACTCCCTAAGCGACCACTAAGGACCACTCGAACACCTCGGATGCTGAAAAGGGTGACGTGACTCAATGCTTATCGCACCCGTAGAGCTTTCGAAGTCGTTGAACATCCAGATCGCTCAGACCCTTCCTCTGTCCAATGACCGCTCCCTTTTTCTTGACGACAATTGTTGGCTGCCCATTAGCAGAAAATGCATAGCTGGAACGTTGAACACAACCTTTAAACACTACAGCACCTCACACTAATAGCACAGCATAAGAAGAAAAACACTCACCTCCCATAATGCATGATGGAGTTTAGATCATAGGGCAAACCTTGGTTATCGATGTCTTTTTTAAAAAACTCTTCTTTCTTTCCTGAAGAAAAAGCAGCCATTGTCAAAGGCGGTACTTCTCAACCCAGTCCTCAGAAACCCCACAGCAGTCCACATTTTTGCTTCCTCCCAACTCTTACTACACCTGTACCAGGTATTCTGCGTTCTCGATTGTTTGGTGCATGTGTGCTTTACTTCAGGGTTGAGAAACACTGGTCAACGGTTTGAATTTAGATTCAATTCCATAATAATGAGTAACAAAAGCTGGTTAGAGAAATCAGCTGCAAAGTTGAATGAATTGGACAGTAGTTCAATATTGCATAAGTAATCTTAGAGGCAGTAGGGCAAACACAGCTGCTATTTGTTTTGTACTAGGTGTGTCTGAAAGGCATCATTACCTGGCTTAATGTTCTGGTATTGCACAGTGATGTAATCATCACGGTCACCGCGAGCGTGCTCGTGGTAAAATCCCAGCGCGTGTAGCAACTCGTGACAAATATTGCCCATCGCGCATTTTTTGCCGATAAATACCAGCTGCCGGCGGCCACAGTGACCCACGGAAGAGGCGCAGCTGGGGAAGGAAACGGGCGAGATTTAACCGATTCCGCTACTTTTAGCAGAATTCGTTATTCAGGGTTTGGCTGAAAACGTAACAAATGGGGTGTCCATCTAGTTCGTTTTTGTACTCTTGTAGATTTTACACATATCATAGCTAATGACAACCCTGAAAACTTGACTAAAATTCACAGAGTTGGGTAATTCGGGTCCAGAGAGTAAAATTCCAGACTGAGATTTTGTTTCAACCAACCAATAGAGTATAAAGACTCAGAGAATTCAACTGGTTTTTTGAAACAAAATCTCGGTCTGGACTTATACTCCCTTAACTTGAATTACCCAACTCTGAAAATTCAATAGTTGTATCAACTTCAGTCCAAGTACATTTGCCATAGTTGGATGCATTGATCATTAAAATTAATTAAGATAACAGGGGTTGCTACAATATGTCACGCCCGGTTTCACACTTACCCATCGCCTATGACAAGTTCCAGATAGTCTGTCTCAGTCGTGCGCTCCTCAAACACAACGCAAGTCTTCTGCGAAATTAATTCCAAGGCGCCCCTAATGTCAGCGGTCTTGTTTTCTGCGAAACGATGGAAGCAAATTCAATACCGTCGGCGCTTTGGTGGGCGTCCAGGGTCGGTTTGCTTACTTAGCGCTGGGCCGATGACAAAGGGCACGGTAACCGTCCCGTTCTCCGCGGGCCACAGCCGCCCTTCGGCGCTCCTGTCCTCGCGCTTCCGACACAGGAGATATTTGTAAATAAAATCCCGTTTTTAAAATTTGCAGCTTTTGATTTGGCCTAAGCATTCCCATCACAAACAAAATTAAAACCCGTCTGGACCTTTTAATATTACGGTTCAGTGGTCCTTTCTGTGCTCACTTATTAGGCCTACAGTAGAAAAAAAACTCAGGACGGTTTGCCGACAGATTCAATAAACTCTAACTGTACTCATCTCCAGCCATCCATCCATCCGTCTTCTGTAACCGTTTATCCTATACAGGATCGGGGGCTGTATAGGATATCTTATCCCAGTGGCAACGCGCGCAAGGCGGTGATCATCCCAGGATGGGCCACAAACCCATGGCAGGGCTACTACTCAAGTCATTATGACAAAATGAATCAAATAAAATTGACAGCAGCTTAAGCTATAATAAATGAGACGTCATTCTATGGCAGCCAAGTGAAGCTGCGTGCCCATCTAACTTATCAGTCAGGTACGGAAAATGTTTAAACCCACTTAGTATAGGGTTGGTGAACCTGTTTACGGGTCGATTCAAAGCATTTAATGAACGCTTTATCACTAGATAATCTCCAGCACAGACTGTGGCATGTCGTAAGTGCGCTTTAAAATAACTAAAAAAAACTCACCGGCTTCAACATGTCCCCTTCGATGACGTCACCATACGCATTGGGCCGGCCGGCTGAGAAGAGAGGTCGCGTAATTTGGATCTTTTTTTTAACCATATATTTCAGCTAAATACAGTGGAATTCCTCGGTAGAGTCCAAGCAAGTACTGAATACAAGAACATGGTGAATTAAAGTTTTGAACTGATTTAGACTGACTTAATTTTAAATCAAAAGTAGATTACGCTTTCATAAAATTACCATGTATAGTTTCAGGATTGAGCTTTCTGTGCGGCGGCGTCCACTCGGCGTGATCGGTTGGCCTGGCCTCAAAAGCTAAGAAAGGGGTTAATTGGGGTTATGCATGCATCAAATATGTAGGTGGGTGATGCAAAGTGTTGCAGACAGCTCAGATACGATTGTAGATTAGAGTTAATTTTTCCGAATAAAATATCAAGACCAGTCACCGAAATTTCCCCGGAAAATAGAAAATAGTTTTCTACAATCAACCATTATTAGTTAATAATCGTGGCTACCGGTTTTTGTGAAGATCGTATAAATCGCCAAAACTTGTAAAACACTCATTTTCTCATTTGGGGACCTAGAAGCAGATCAATTGTTAAACAATATTGTTATGGAGCCCATGCATCACTAACTTGGCTTATTTGATCCCAGTGTGCAAAGCAGGTGTCCTGAAGTGACGCACGTGCAAGTCGTGTGTTTAGTGAAGCTGCCAGCATTACACTGTTTGCAAAGATGTCTGTAGGCATAATAACTGATAGGCCCATTAGCCCACTAGTTTACTCGAGCTTCACTGATATTAACACGATTGGCTGTTGTGTGTATGCGTTCCTTGTACAGACAACAACAAAGTGCAAAGATGTTACTGCGGGCATCGATATTGTTTTCCGAGTTGATCGTGTGAACGCAGGTAATTCAGAAGTCGTTAGTTTATCGGCGTCTGGAATGCAGCACAAGTGGGCCCAGGTAAGGGGGCTGGTGGGATTTTCCATAATGGACTAAAGATGCGAAGTTGTATGGTAACGCCGGTAAAGTGGTGATCTTTTACAACTGTACCGCAAACAAAGCGTTTAGGGTTTTTTTTAGGTTTATTTTTTAGACCTTAGTGAAGTGGAATACAATATAGCCTAATAATGTAAGCGGTACCCGGGCCCGGGTGGAATTGGCATGCTGTTCCTACCACCTCCACAGGATTTGTAACCGCTTCGTTAAACAGCAAGGTGTTTCATGATGATGATGCTTTATGCTTCATTTAACTCATCAACGCATCAACTCCCTGTACGTCCCGGGAACCGTACCCCCGGTGCGATAGACATCAGCCCAACCTCCGCGGACGGTCTAGCCAGGCGGACGCGCTGAATCAGGCGGCATAGAGCCGCTCTGCTCTTCCCGTTTCCTTCAGCTAAACATGCTGCAAAACAATTAAAACATTAAGCGTAATCTACCACAGTGACCATAGTAGATACACGAAACACAGCTCCGGGGTACGAAGGAAGAAGCTTAGTCATGAGTAGGATTTTATACCAATCAAAACTGATTCTGCTGACTTTAAATTTTACTTCCAGGCAGAGGCAGGGTGGCGATCATACCTACATGCATAACTCTAATCACGTCTAACCAGAAACTAACGCCACACCCGCATATTTAAACAAGCAATGTATAAACAGCGCTTTAACGGTAAATACTGCGTTGCGTAATACGCCACCTACATGTGAAATAATACTGCGCATCTACCTGGATCCACCACAATTAATATAAATAACTGGTACAACTATAGACGAACCACTGCAGTTCTCGATGAGTAATTAAATCGTTTCTGATCCATGGACTGGTGGAATACTGAAACTGCCACATATATAAAATAAACATACCACAATCAAATGAGTTTATTCAACACGTCCACATTTCCAAAAAATGGCAAAATATTTGTGGTAACGTTCCCATAAAAGGTGAAATGACTAAATAGTCCCGCTGTTTTGGGGCACTTTAATATAGAAATAGCAGAAGTTCCGGATAGTTTAAATCCAATGCTTCGTCAAGGGTTGGACACTTAGAGTGCACATACAAATATACGTTTTAATTAAGAAAACGAGTGAATAAACATTAGTCCTCCCCAATTTAAATGGGGAAAAAATAAAATAACATTAAACTGCCCTGGTATCTCAACACCATAATCCAAAAACTCATAATAAAAAGCCTAAACAAAATTATGAATTAATCACAGCCACTGAATATCCTACACCTTAATAATTCTGTACAGTTTTAAAAGCAGTGAATGACCTCTGTCTCACAAAACTTCATAGCATTAGGTGTCTGACAGAAGCATACAGGTATTAGGTTTCGTTTTTACAGGAATTCACGTTATACTTGATTTTTTTTTGACAATGACATTTCCTCATTTTTTTATCCCCAGATGTTTCTTTTCTGCACACTAGCTGCTTATGATTGTTATTGTTAAGCATGTGGATGTGGATGTCGAAGCACTCCCCCAGCTCCCCCCTGCCCAGCCGCCTCGGCGTAGCTCAGTCCAGGGTCCTGTCAGCACACGCCCCCTCCTCAGGCCTTCTCCTCCCCGTCGCTCCATGCCTCTGTCAGGCTGGTGGTCTGCCCGACAGGAACACACACAGAACAGGCCGCAGTGGATGAGGGAGTGGACTCTGATAGGGGCCAGTTAAGCCTGTAGACAAGGTTCTGCGGTTGTGGTTTAGAGTAGTTTCTCCCAGTCCGGTCCTATGGGACCCATAGCTGGTCCATGTTTTGCTCCTTCTGAACACTCTGCCGGACTGTAGCTGGGGGGAAGCATAAATGTGGACTGTCTGGCAGGGAGCTCGGAAGGAGCAAAAACGTGGACCGACAGTAGGTCCCAAAGGACCGGACTGGGAGACACTGCCTTAGAACAAAGTCCCGAACCTTAGTTTCAATAAATTATCCAGCAATATCAAATGGGGAAGTCACTTTGGAGGGCTGTTGACTAAAACAACAATAACTCATTATATTAATATAAACAATCTGGTGGCTCAGTCAAAATGCATCTGTACTGCTGTGTTCTCAGTAGTTTTGATTGGTTACATGTTTCCTGTAGAACAAACAGGCAGCCTTGGAGGTTGGCTGATTAATTTGCCCCTAGTGAGAGATTGTGATGAGTGTGTGTCCTGCAAAGGACTGGCAACCCATCCAAGGACTGGCAACCCATCCAGGGTGTCCCCCTGCCTCATGCCCAGATAGGCTCTAAGCCCACTGCTGCTGTATGTTTTTACATAATTAAAAAATATATATATATAAAATTTAAGGCAGAGTTGCCAGAGTTTGTGTGGCTGTAGAGAATATATTTTACTGCTTACTCTCAGCTCATTTCCAATTTAAAGGAAACAGGAAGCAGGATAGACACCCCTGTGTGTTAGCCTGTTAGCCTAGCCACTTATATTAGCCCCCCGCGTCACTGTGGGCGCTCCCCGAGCTTCACCTTATCCACCAGCTTCTGCATGGTCTCGATGACTGTGATCATGTGACCGGCGTTCTCCTTCAGACTCCGCTCGTAGGCCGCGTTCCGCCTCTCCGCCCGCTCCAGCTGCTCCTGCAGGTCCTCCTGACCCTCCCGCAGGGCTGATAGGGTGGCAGCCCCTGCCTCCAGCTCCGCTGGTGGGGGGTGGGGGGTGGGGTTGGAGGGGGTACATTAGCATCCAAACTTCACGAATTTCAGTTAATTGAAATACTAAATCTTAATGCACATGAGAGTCTGCGTTCTTGAAATGGATGTTTTCCTGACTGTGAAAGTGCACTGAGAGCAGAATGTAGACAAATGCAGCCACTAGAGGGCGCCTTCGTGTTTACACAAACAGCCACTGCATCAAATTATAGCAGTGAAGAGATGGGTTGCATTACTCAGTCTGGCCTGCAGGGAGGCGACACACTGCTCCAGCCCCTGGCATTTGGTTTCCCCTTTCTGCAGGGACTGCAGAAGGTTGGGGATGTTGAGCACAGTCCCCTTGTGAGTCACCACGTCCACGTTGCTGTTTCCACTGGACCGCCGGGTGGAGACGCCATACTTTGATGGGGCTGAAGGCAAGAGGGCAGCATTTCCTAGAAAAAAAGCCAAACGACTAGATCATATGAAATCCCAACTTCATGATTTTCTGTATTTTTATCATCATCGTTTTGCAAGTTCACTGAAAGTTTAAATGTTATGTTTTATGCTTTTACAAACGAGTTTATAGCTTATTATGCTCTTAAGTGGGTTTTAATTGGATAGTTTGACTGAGCAATTCAGGTTAAGTACATCTCTCAAGGTATTCAAGGCCTCTCCAGGGATATGATCCAGCAACCTTCCAGGTTACCAGTGTGCCAATGAAAAACGCATCGTGCAGGACAGTGCTCTTACCTTGCGCCGTGGGGTCTGCCCTTAGCTGCTCTGGCTCCTGAGGGTCCTCCCAGCGGACAGCTAGTTTCCTGTAGTGGCACTGCCCTCCTAGGGATACCCGGCTCACCAGCTCCTTTGCCTGGCAGACAGAGATTCAGCGGATCACGACACTACAGGTGTAATGCTAACTGGAGTAGCACGCAGAAGCCGTGTGGAGCAGGACAGGACCCATCCCATCGTCACCTGGCCGGGTGTGAGATGGAGCCCCAGAGAAAGCAGAATGTCCTGAAGGTCTGCCTCCCTCAGGCTGCCAGCCAGCGGCCGGTCGAAGAAGACCCAGGCCAGCAGCACGGCCCGGGGCAAGACCACCATCCCATCCTGCAGGAGACACGATCTCAACCTCACGCTCGTACCCAGGGTGACTCTCCTACCCAGTCACACAGCAGGACGAATTTCAGCCGAAAGCTCCGTCCTGCTCTACTGCAGGGCCACGCCTGGACATTGCCATGTCAGCACAGACGAACAGGAACACGCTTACGCCGTCCTTGGTGGTGGCAGTGCCCTCCGGATGAGACGGTGCTGCTGGCTGCGCCTTCCCGTCCTCCCCTGTCGTCCCTGCAGAGGTAGAAAAATTTAAGGGGAAAAAAAATGACATACATAATACCTAATAATAGGTAATTGGGGTATCAGAATACACACGTATATCAATCTTGCCTAATAATACTTTAACAACAATAATCAGCATCATCATCCATCTTCTAACTGCTGAAATAGCACGTCTTAGAAGTGTTATTATAATAACTGATTGTTGTATTAATATTATATTAGAATAGCGGATAATGTCCCAGACTGATTATATTACAATAGCGGATAATGTCACAGTAAGACCCAGACTGATCATGGTTGCTTGCACTCTTTCCACTCACTGCTTTCCCTCTCTTTCTTCTCCTCCCTGTGGCTCTGGTCCCTCTCTTCCGCCTCCTCGTCCGTATCCTCATCGGCCTGGTCCTCCTCACTCTCGGCATCGTCTTCCCTCTGCTGGCGACCCAGTTTCCAGTTGCGGTCCTTCGAGCCACTCCTCGTCCGGGCTCTCCCAGCCCGCTTTGGCAGCTCCTCCTCCTAGCCACCAGAGGGAGACATTTCAAAAGCAGGGAGCTGAAAGAAGCGCCTCTGTTTTGCAAAGACATAACCAGGAAAAACTGTAATTTTATTTCCTGAACCGTGCCGTGCTTTTTGTTTCACTTTTGCTCAGGCGAGTTGAGGAAATTTTATCAAAGCTATAAAGACA